TAAGATGGTACATTTTGTGGTCTGTAATGTACCACAATTAAAAATAGAAAATGAATAAATATGTAGGAGAGCTAAATAGAGAGACATAAGGAACGAAGAGCAAAGTGCCTACACATGAATGCATTCACTTCTGCAGGGTTTATGTGAGTAAGGGACAAGTTTTGCTGGGATGCCAGACTGTGCTCTCATGGCACTGACGCCCTGAAGCTGCAGTTGAATTCCCCTTGAGAGTCTCCTTGAAATTCTGACCCTTCGTTGAGAAATTCTGACCTGAGTTAAATATTGCCTAATTGCCATGAGGGCACTGTAGACCTGTCTCTTATTAACCACCTTGCTAACCTCCAGCTAATTTCCATCCTGATTTCTTTGGTGTTCATGCATATAGAGTGAATATAGAAGGCAGGCAGAATGAATATTTCTTCTTGCTTAGGAAACTTTCCAGCAAGTGGGGGAGGGCTTGAGACCTCATCATCATGATGTGGCTGCTTGACTTCCTCCAGATCCCAAGGTGTCAGGCGGACAGTTTTGAGACAAATATCCAACAATTGAGGGTGTGTATTTTTTATTTTTCTGGGCTGTATTGCCTGTTCTTTGTTTACTGAGCCTTTGCTTTTGGGGGAAGTGGAATCTTAAAAAAGGAAAAGTAGTAGCCGTGAAGTATTGAATGGGTAATTAGAAAAATAGGCACTTAAGATCCTGAATTGATGGCCCATTTCATGACTAGTAAATGACTGGGGGGAAAAACACACACACAAAACTGCCAAGGTTGTCTACATTCTGGTGGTAAAAATGCGAGACTCAGGAATCTTGAACAGGGAAACACCAAAAGGAACCTCATAGTTGTGGGCAAGAGTACTTCATGTTTTAAAGGGTACTTAATTCTTATATTTGGTGGTAAAGTTTGAGGGGAGAGTCAACTGTTAGAGTCAGGGTAGACTCCCGAGGAAACTATGAATGCTAATCTGAATGCAAAGCCATGTTGATGGAGCATCTTCAAGGTATTCCAATTCCAGAGGGAAGGTTGGTTGGCCCACTTACATGGCCAATTTTCAGTAGACACATCTATATTTTTAAAATATTTTTTCAAAATATATATATTTATTGATTTCAGAGAGAGAGGGAGAGGGAGAGAGAGATAGAAACATCCATGATGAGAGAGAATCATTGATTGGTTGCCTCCTCCACACCCCTATTGGGGAATAGAGCCTGAAACCCAGGCATGTGCCCTGACCAGGGATCTAACCATAACCTCCTGGTTCATAGGTCGACACTCAACCACTGAGCCACCCCAACAGGGCTAGACACATATCTTAAATGTATAGAGAGTTTATCATGAAATTATATTTGACTAATAACTTTTGTGATTATGAAAATAATACATAGTCATCATAGAAAACCCAAAAAGAGGAAGAGAACAAACAAAATCACTTAAATCTTGCCATTCAGAAAATTCTAGTCTAAAATTTTGTGTATATATTTTCAGCCTTTTCACATGTGAGTTTTAAGTAAAATTTGGTTCAGACTCTATATGTTGTGTTTAAATAACTTTATTCAGATATAATTTATGTACCATACAATTTCCCTATTTGGCATGTACACTTCAGTGTACAAGATGAAAAGCGTTCTAGAGGTTGGTTGCACAACACAGGATGTACTCAAAATTACTGAATTCACCACTTGAAACGGGTTAAGAAGGTTAATTTTAATGATATGTGTGGGTTTTAGTATATTGACGGTTGCACAACTTTGTCACCACAATCACCTTTAGAAATTTTTTCACCTACCCCAAGAAAAACACCATTAACAGCCACTCCCCTTCTCATTCCACCCACTGTTGCCCCCACCCCCCAGCTCTAGCCAACCACCAGTTTCCTTTGTATCTCTATGAATTTGTCTATTCTGGACATTTCGTACAAATGGAACCATACAAGATTTGGTCCTCTGTGCCTTTAACTTAGCATAGTGTTTTCAAGGGTTATCCATATTGTAGTGTGTATCAGAATCTTATTTCTTTTTCATATATTTTTATTGACTTCAGAGAGGAAGTGAGAGAGAGACAGACAGACACAGAGAGAGAAACAACAATTGTAACAGAAAAATCATTGATTGGCAGCCTCCTGCACATTCCACACTGGGAATTGAGCTCACAACCTGGGCATGTGCCCTGACCAGGATTTGAACTGTAACCTTCTGGTTCATAGGTGGATGCTCAACCACTGAGCCATACCAGCCAGGCAGAATCTCATTTCTTTGTATTGCTAAATATAATTCCATTATATGGATGTACTACATTTTGTGTATTCATCCATCAGTTGATGGACGTTTGGGTTGTTCCTACTCTTTGTCTGTTATGAATCACTAGAGGCCCAGTGCATGGAATTCGTGCACAGGTAGGGTCCCTAGCGGCTGCTGGCTGCTGGCTGGGGCCTCTCTTCCTGTGGTTGACCGGTTGGTCCTGCCTGATCAAGGGGTCCAATCATGGCCAGAGCCAGCAGGGGTGGGGGATCTGCAGGTGGTTGGTGGGCTGGCCCCACCCTCTGGTCGAACTCCTGGTCGAGGGGACAATTTGCATATTAGGCTTTTATTGTGTAGGATGCTGTTATGAACATTCATATTTAACCATTTGGGACCTTCTCGTTGCTTAGTTTGAAGAAAATTATTAGATATCCAGCCTCCCCATCTCTCATTTCCTTAAAGTAATTTATAGAAGTAGATTTGCTGTCCAAAAGGACATTACATGTCACAGCACTTGTCAGATGGTTTCTAGGAAGACTACATTCATTCTCTGTAATCGCTTCAGTGTTATTAGCCTGTGTATGTTCAGTGATGGTCATTTAATACCAAGTGCTGTAAAATAGTAATCCATGAATTTTTTTATTGATTTGTTCTTACAGAGAGGAAGGGAGAGAGATAGGTGTTTCTCTCTCATCAATGTTTCTAACTCTATCAGCTGCCTCCTGCATGTCCCCTACTGGGGATTGAGCCTGCAACCAAGGTACATGCCCTTGACCGGAATTGAACTGAGGCCGTTTAGTCTGTGGGCCGACAGTCTATCCACTGAGCCAAACCAGTCAGGGAGGAGTCCATGAATTTTTTAAAAGACAGGGTCCCTGCCTTCAAGGTGCTTATGTTCACATTTAGCCAAATAGGCAGATCTACGTAGATCCACAAGTGTCATGTAGGCAAGATGGTGTGCATTATGTGGAGACAAACATAGACTGGTGAGGTAGAGCACACATTTGCCTGCCCTGGATGAGATTCACTCAGATATAATCAGCAAGCAACTTTCTACACCTAAAAGTTAAAAAAAAAAAAAAAAAAAAAAGCCAAAACCGGTTTGGCTCAGTGGATAGAGCATCGGTCTGCGGACTGAAAGGTCCCAGGTTCGATTCCAGTTAAGGGCATGTACCCTGGTTGTGGGCACATCCCCTGTAGGGGCTGTGCAGGAGGCAGCTGGTCGATGTTTCTCTCTCATCGATGTTTCTAACTCTCTGTCCCTCTCTTCCTCTCTGTAAAAAATCAATAAAATATATTTTAAAAAATAATAATAAAAAAATAAATAAAAGTAAAAAATAAAAAAAAAAATAAAAAAGTTAACAGAGCCTAACTCCAGCCTAAGGACCAGTTAGTCCAATGTCATAAATCCTATGGATCGCTTACTCTAAACCAGTGGTCGGCAAACTCAATTAGTCACCAGAGCCAAATATCAACAGTACGATAGAAATTTCTTTGGAGAGCTGAAACCGGTTTGGCTCAATGGATAGAGCATTGGCTTGGGGACTGAAGGGTCCTGGGTTCGATTCCGGTCAAGGGCATGTACCTTGGTTGCAGGCATATCCCCAGTAGGGGGTGTGCAGGAGGCAGCTGATAGATGACTCTCTCTCATCGATGTTTCTAACTCTTATCTCTCTCCCTTTCTCTCTGTACAAAACCAATAAAATATTTAAAAAAAAAAAAGAAATTTCTTTGGAGAGCCACATTTTTTAACCTTAAACTATATAGGTAGGTACATTGTTATTAACTTAATTAGGGTACTCCTAAGCTGGCCTTTGCTAAAAACTCAAGGGGCCAAAGAGCCACATGTGGCTCCCGAGCCGCAGTTTGCCGAACACTGATCTAAACCTTTACCCCTGTTGTTCAGAAGACTTAGATGTCAGCACAGGGGGGCCCATCAGACCTGACTCTGGCTGCCTCCCCACCTGTGCTAGCTCATGACTTCTTTAGATTCTTTCGGACATCTTTTTCCCTGTTTCTCATTCTGTTATATTCAGAAAAGTACCATGTAAAGATTATAAAATTAGCCTGGCCGCCATGGCTCAGTGATTGAGCATCGACCTATGGAGGTCACGGTTCGATTCCTGGTCAGGGCACAAGCCCAGGTTGTGGGCTCAACCCCCAGTGTGGGGCATGCAGGAGGCAGCCAATCAGTGATTCTCATCATTGATGTTTCTGTCTTTCTCCCTCTCCCTTCCTCTCTGAAATCAATACAAATATTTTTTTAATTTCTAAAATATATATATATATATATATATATATATATATATATAAAATGAGCAAGTAGTTCCCTTATACAGCTGAATATGGGAAGAAGTTTCCAGACTTGCTCAGTCGTACCCTGTTGATGTTGACACTGGCATGATTTCATCCCCAGCATGACCTCCAGGTTCCATGCACAGGAAGTGACAAATCTCGATTCGGGAAGCTCACTGATTTGTAAAATTAGAGGTGGCGAAAGTTATAGCAGATCTTTCTGCAGCCATTCATGCAGAAGCTGTTTACAGTGCTGCTTTAAGAAAAAACAAACAACTGAGAATCAAACTTTTTAAACTAAACTATGCCACACTGCAGGTCCCTTTTTCTAACATGCCACACCCATTTTTATTACCCAACTTCTTTAGCAAACACCACGTAGGTAACTGGCAGAAAGTGCCACACTACTATCAGGGAGCTGTGATTGGCAAACACAAATAGAAAACTCTCTTTTCTTTGCAGCTGTGAAAATGTCTGCCCGGGCCCAGCTAGCTGCCGGAGCTTCCCTTATTGAGCAACTGGTGTCTGAAGGGAACTTTGAGGAGCTTGGCAACCACCTTACGGAGCTAGAGACTCTGCACGTGACCAAGGAGCATCTCCCGCAGACAGATGTGGTCAGGGCTGTGTACCGTGTCCTCAAAAGCTGCCCCAACGTGACTTTGAAGAAGAAAGCCAGGCATCTGCTGTCAAAATGGAAAGTTGCATATCAGGAACCTTCTTTCAAACCCAGGGACAGCCCCACATTCTTCCCTGAGGGTGGAGAGGCCAAAACTTCAGGACTTTCTTATGGCTCACGTCCAGATGAGACAGTGGGAGGCCCCGGTTCTGATTCTCTGCCATCTTCCCAAGATGCTATAGCAAAAGCCATTGCAATGATTGTGCCTGAAAATAGCCCTAGTGAAATGGAACGTAAGGAAGAGCATGGCAAGGGTGGCGACCCTCAGTCCACTGACCAGAGATCAAGTGAGTTGCCACATCCCGCAGTGCCTGTGAGAACGAAATGCACAGAGCTTCTGTATGAAGCTTTAGCTAGCTTTTCCACAGATGAACCCAAAGATGAGCTGTGGCAGAACTTTGCAAGAGAGATTGAAGAGCACGTGTTCACCCTGTATCCAAAGAACCTCAAAAGATATAAAAGTTGTATCAGAAGCAAAGTGGCCAATCTGAAGAACCCCAAAAATTCTCACTTGCAACAAGACTTGCTCTCTGGGACCATGTCGCCAAGGGAGTTTGCCGAAATGACCGTCATGGACATGGCAAGCAAGGAGTTGAAACAGCTGAGAGCTTTGTATACGGAGTCTGGCATCCAGGAACATTGCCTTCCGCAAGTGATGGAGGGCACCCAAACGGAGAAAATCAAATGCAGGCGCTGTGAGAAGTTCAATTGCAAGGTCACTGTGATTGACAGAGGAGCCCTGTTCCTCCCGAGTTGGGTGCGGAATTCAACCCCAGATGAACAAATGATGACCTATGTAATCTGTAATGAATGTGGCGAACAGTGGTACCATAGCAACTGGGTGTGCTTGTAATTGTAAATCAGTGCTCTGGGCCTGGCCCATATCCTAAATGTATATAGATTTTGCCAGGAAATTATATTAGACTAATAACTTTACGATTATGAAAATCAGGAAAGAGTAAGAGGACAAACAAAAATCACCTAAATCTTGCCATTCAGGAAATCCCAGTCTAAAATGTTGTGTATCTATTTTGGGCCTTTTCACGTGTGATTTTTTAAGTAAAGTATATGACTTTTTAAATAAATTCAGTTGGTTGGGCATCTTCTTGGATTCCCTGTCAGGGCACTTGCCCGGGTTGTGGGCTCTGTCCCTGGTAGGGGGCATGCATGCAGGAAGCAGCCAATTGATGTTTCACTTTCACATCGATGTGTCTCTTTCCCTCTCCCTCCCTCTCTCAAAATTAATAAAATTATTTTTTAAAGTAAAATAAAGGTTCTGAACAACAGATAACTGGAGTGAAACCTTTTATTTATATTACCCTTTTATGCTTGTTTTTAAAACCCTATACAATCCTAAGAAACCTAGTTGGTCTGGCTCAGTAGTTGAGTATCAACCTATGAACCCGTAAGTCACAGTCAGGGCACATGTCCAGGTTTCGGGCTTGGTCATACAGGAGGCAGCCAAACAATGATTCTCTCTCATCATTGATGTTTCTATCTCTCCCCCACCCTCTCTGAAATCAATAAAAAATATATTTTAAAAACCCTAAGAAAGTTGTTTACTGAAGTCCACACCATTATCACTAAAAGTTGATCCTGTCCAAAATAGTTTGAGAAGCACTACTTGAGCAATAGGCCAGTAGTTATCAACAGTGGCTTCATATTGGAATCACAGGGGAGCTTTGAAACTCCACCGAAGCTAAGAGCCAACCCTAGACCAGTGGTTGGCAAACTCAATAGTCAACAGAGCCAAATATCAGCAGGACAACGATTGAAATTTCTTTGGAGAACCAAATTTTTTAAACTTCTTCTAATGCCACTTCTTCAAAATAGACTCACCCAGGCTGTGGTATTTTTGTGGAAGAGCCACACTCAAGGGGCCAAAGAGCCACATGTGGCTCACGAGCCTAAGTTTGCCGACCATGGCTCTAGAACAATCACATTTGAATCTGTGGGCTGCAACCCAGGTATCAACATTTCCTTTTTAGTTTCTTTTTTTTCCTAAATATGTTTTATTGATTTTTAGAGAGAGGAAAGGAGAGGGATCGAGAGAGAAAAACATCGATAGGCTGCCTCCTGCACGCCCCTACTGGGAATCGAGCCTGCAACCCAGGCATGTGCCCTGACCGGAAATGGCACCAGTGACCTCTTGGTTCCTGGGATGATGCTCAACCTCACTGGCCAGGCTCCTTTTTAATTTCTCAAGTTATTTTGAGACGCTGTCAGAGTTGAGAACTCATACCTAGGCTCTCACTTGACCCTTTTCACGGTTCTAAGCAAAGACTGTTGTTCTGTATACTTTATAGGTGATGAAACAGGTCCACAGAGGGGCTGTGACTTGCCCAAGCTACACACCAGAGATAGCCCAACTCGAGCTGCTCCCAGATTTTCTTCCTCCAAATTCACTGTAAGCAGCTGCTTCAATATGACTTTATTTTTAATCCTCAACCAAAGAACATGTTTTTCATTGCATTATATAGAGAGAGAAAAGTAGAGGGAGAGAGAAAAAAACATTGATGTAAGAGAGAAACATCAATCGGTTGCCTCCCATATGCACCACCACCAGGCATCGAACCCACAACCGGGGTATTTGCCCTGACCAGGCATCAAATCTGCAGCCCTTCTGTGCAGTAGACAATGCTCCAACCAACTGAGCTGCACCGGCCAAGTTACTTTGACTTCTGAGAAATGTGTTCCCAGATTTGCAGGACTAAATGAATAGTGCCTTTAGGCTCTAACATTGTGTAACTAGAGCTTTGTTATTTTTCCCTCTCTTTTCTCAGTTTACAGGTCTCCCTTAAGCCATGAAAGTTACCCTATAACCCTACAGTGTTTTGAGTCCTTGATTCGTTGAAGGAGTTATGGGGCTTTTTTCTTTGCAAAGTTCTCCAGGTGTGTAAACTCTTCAACCATAACATGTAGTTTCAGATGCTAGGGAGATTATATATATATATATATTTTTTTAATTGATTTTGTACAGAGAGGAAGGGAGAGAGATAGAGAGCTAGAAACATCGATGACAGTCATCGATCAGCCGCCTCCTGCATACCCCCTACTGGGGATATGCCCGCAACCAAGGTACATGCCCTTGACCAGAATCGAACCCAGGACCTCTCAGTCCCCAAGCCGACGCTCTATCCATTGAGCCAAACCGGTCTCGGCAATGATGCTAGGGAATCTTCATGTTCTCAAGGGCATGTGTTTTAGGTCTGTATGGGGAGGACAAAGTGTTACAGAAAACCGGAGAAGAACCAAGCAATACTTAGATGGAGTTACATTTATTACACGCGGGTCCAAAGGAAAATGTCTCTCAAATTCTGGGCCCTAACATGCAGGAACTTTCCCTATTCATATGTTTTTACCTTCTTTGTCTCCCAAATAGGGGGTATTTCCAGCCCCTTTTGCAAGTTCTTAAAGAGCCCGTATGTGCTGGGCCTTGAGACCTCAACCAGAGGCCTGGCCTAGCACCAGCACTGATAACCTTGTCTGGGGAAGGTGTAATGGCCTCTCTGAAGTGGGAGTAGTCTTATTTTCCTCATTATTTAAGCAAGCGAGCATTTACAGAAGCCAAATAGCAGGGTTAAAATTTCAAACAGCAGTTTCTATATAAGATGGATGCCTCAGACAGAGCATCTGGGAGGCTTCAAATTAGACTGAAAAAGACAGATTAATCTGAGAAAGCCAGTTTATTACCACTTGCTACATGATACAGAAGAAACTCAGTGATTAGGAACTCAAAAGGATGGTTAGAACTTGGGCTTATATGGCATTTTAACCAAGAACAAGAAACTTGTAGATAAGACAAAGGAAAGTAAATCTAAGGAGAACCTATTGGGAGGTAGTGGTTATTTAGTCGTTTGTTTGGTAGTCTCAGTGCCATCTCGTCTCCAGCGATAAGGTTGTTACCCGCTTCCTGGTACAGAATTCGTGAGGGGAATTTCTGTTCTGCTTTCAGGGAGAGCAGGAAGCTCATCCTGTGTCTGCTTTTTCTCATTTGCTTTCAGATCAGAGTGATCCTTCTATCAGGATGGCATATCCTGGGGTGGCAAACTCTGAACCCCTCTAGGTCTGAAGTTCCACATCTTTTTAAAAAATATATATATTTTATTGATTTTTTTTTTTACAGAGGGGAAGGTAGAGGGATAGAAAGTTAGAAACATCGATGAGAGAGAAGCATCCATCAGCCGCCTCCTGCACACCTCCTACATCTACTTACGTAAAAATAGGAGTTAGTCAGAGGAAGGCCATTGCTTTAGCCTTTGATTCTCCCAGCAGTTCTCTAAAAGATGAATTGAAAAGGAAAGGACTTCTTTGAGGCCTGGCAAGCAGTGTTTAAGCAAGTGGTGTAATTGTTTAAACACAACCAGCCTTCTGTGTGGTGGCAGCTGATTTTTTTTCTCTTTTAAACATTCATAGAGGCCATGCTGGTGTGCCTCAATGGTTTAGCACTGACCCCATGAACCAGGAGGTCACGGTTTGATTCCCGGTCAGGGCATGTGTCCATGTTGCAGGCTCGACCCCCCAGTGTGGGGTGTGCAGGAGGCATCCGATCTATGATTCTCATCACTAATGTTTCTCTCTTTCCCTCTCCCTTCCTCTCTCTCTGAAATCAATAAAACATACTTTATTTTTAAAATATATTTTATTGATTTTTTTTTTTTTTACAGAGAGGAAGGGAGAGGGATAGACAGAAACATCGATGAGAGAGAATCAACGATCAGCTGCCTCTTGCACACCCCCTACTGGGGATGTGCCCGCAACCATGGTACATGCCCTTGACCGGAATCGAACCCGGAACCTTTCAGTCCACAGGCCGACGCTCTATCCACTGAGCCAAACCGGTTTCAGCAATAAAACATGCTTTAAAATAAATATACATAGAATGTTAATTGTAATAGCTTCAACAAGTTTACTTCTGAAAAATAAAAAAAAATAAAGAGTATAAGTTTACTGCTGAGTTACCTGCCAACCAAATAACCTGCACATTTTCATAAGTTCTTTTTTCCTAACTTGTTTAGCTTGCTCTGCCAGACCCTGAAGGCCGAAGCCCACGTACAGTTTACCTGCCTCAAGGTGCTCAGCACTAAAATACCTTTGTGTTTCAAAGGGTTTTGAAGAAATCGCTTGAAACCATCGAGTGTGAATTCTGTTTTGGTCCCTTGGTCCCCTTTTCCCCTGTGACTTCCCAGAATTGCTTATTGTGATGTGGCATATTAGGCTTTTAAAGAGAAACTTGCAAAGTCACCTCAAACTTCAAGTTTCACAAAGCGTGGTTTCATGTGACTTGGAATGGTCTTAAAGATTATTCAGTGAGTATGAAAGAGCACAGGACGTGAAACCCAAGTGTGATTAGTTCGTGGCACTCTGCTTTTTGGTTAGGGTTTATTTTTAGTGTGTGTGTTTTTGGGGTTTGGGGATTTTTTGTGGGTAGTTTTTATTTATACTGGAATTTTGCAACCTCAATTTGCAGATAAAAACACCTGAAATGGAAATTCCTTTACTCTCCAAGACATAAAAATCTGGCTAGTCTTCCCCATTTTGTATTAACTTTGTTAGTGACTTTTGCAACTAGAGTAGGGAAAATAGTAACCTGGGTTTTTCTAAGCATAGATTAGCATTCTTTCACATCCTATATCTTATTCCCTAAAAATAGAGGTTTTTGTTTTTTGTTTTTTAATTTATTTGTTTGTTTGTTTTTGTTGATCCTCACCAGAGGATATTTTCCCATTGATTTTTAGGGAGATTGGAAGAGAGAGAGAAAGAGAGAAGTATAGATGTAAGAGAAACATGTCAATTGGTTGCCTCCTGCATGAGTCCCGACCAGGGTCAGAACTGGGGAGGAGCCTACAACCA